ACTGGCATTGGTTTAATGAGAATAAAAGGAAAAAAACTTTGTGCCTTGTTTTTTAAGAAAAAGAAAATATTGTTCTCCATGATTAGTGATGCTATCTTACTACAATACATTCAAATTCTTGACTATTCCACAATGTCTAGTAAAAAACAAAGTGAATATTTCAGAATCTCATAGATTCTCCTCCTCTGCTTAAAAAGTTAATATCAAATGGATCTTGATATTTTTTGTCAAAGGGAGATGATGATGATGATGATGTGTGTGTGTTTGATTATCATCTAACTACTGGTTTCCTACCCTGAGGTGCAGGGATGGGTTTTGGGAGGTCATGAACCCCCCTAAACTGTATGCAAAACTTATGGGTCTACATTTTACTGGGGAGATTCCTTAGCTTTCGTCAAATTTTCAAATGAGTTCAAGACAATGAATGTAAATTGGCTGGTGCAGAATACATCGATGCCCAGAGAGCATGGTGATAGGCTACAGCCAGACTGCAACAGGAAGTGCCAACAGGATTATCACCAACCAGGGCAAACTAGTAAGCCCGAAGGCGGGCTCCCCTCACGTGAAGACTCTGAAGAGGTCGAAGACATGATGTAATAATTAAGGCTATAGAAATAAAGCAAATAATAACTGTCACCCAACACTGGAGTCCTCTCTGAATAGTCATTTTCTAACCCTGATATCTTTAACTTTCCAGCTACATTTAAAAAACTGATTCTGGGTGGTGCACACACAATGTGATGTACAGATGATGTATTACAGAATTGTACACTTGAAACCTATGTAACTTTACTAACCATTGTCACCCCAATAAACTTTAATTAAAATAATAATAATAATAATAATAATAATAATAATAATAATAGTATGTCATGTGTTTGCTGGGCCCTCACTGTTACAAATCTTACTGTTTACCTCGTTCTGCGGTATGGGCTTTGACAAAAACTCCATCAGGGTTGAGGTGAATCACTCAATAAAGGTGTTCATTCCCCGATTTGTAAAACAGGGTGAACGATCCCAAACACTCCCAGCTTCCTACAGATGATGGCTTGATGGTTGAATAAGAAAACACTTGCAAAGGTGCTTGGAGACCTTTCCAAGGAAATTACACCCTTGACACCTTCATTATGGTTACTCATCCAGATAAACTGCTAAAGCTCAGTACATTTAGCAATACTTATAACCACTCTCTCTCTTAATTGCAACGCTTGGAGAGTTCATAACTCATTCTATCAGAGACCTTGGACTTATAAAATTTGTAATTGCTCTACTGTTATTATGAACGTTTTGTTTTATCTCTATTGCTACTGAGAGTGTGCCAGCTTCCTTCATCATAAACATTTACATAACTATATCTAATAATGGTTTTGGTCAAGGTCATTCATGAGGGGTCGGAATCCCCAGCAAGGAGGGATGTGTTTCAGAACTGCTGTTAACTTTTTCCTTTCCAATAATAAACTCTAGAAAGAAAACAGGGCCTTTGTCTTAGCCATTGAATGGTAACCAACAGGTGATCATTAAATATTTGTTAAGTAAATTAATGAAGCTTTAGAATGTTGATAATGCATGACAGTAATGACTCCACTGATATCATTTTGAAATACTAATGAACTTGATAAAGCCAGGAGTCACCATTTAAAACCACCAGTTGGAAATAAACACACAATCTAATAATTTGAGAATCATTTTAAAGAAGCTAGTTTCAAACACATTTTGCACAATGTTAACATTTTGTGTGTGTATAATGTACCAAATGTTATCTTCTGTTTGCGATTTCAAAAATTGCATTTTCTAAATAAAAATAACTTTTATTGCATTTCTTATTACAAAAGTAATACATATTACATATTTTAGCATGATTTTATTTATCCAGGAGATAAACTTTTCTCCAGAGAAATGCATCTTTTGATTTATACTTATAATAAAAATCGATGAGGGAAAAAAAAAGTATTCAAAGAAATCCCCTGTGCCTTAACATAGTGCTTATCCTTTTACAGTAGATATACCTATATTCTGGAAATTTAATTTAAGGTAATACTATGGACATTAGACTTAAAAGCTCAAACTACCTAAATTTCTACCAAAAAAAACTGACAACACAAATTACCTTATATTCTGATTAAATACATGCAAACACTAATATGGGGACTTAAAAATACCATACATGGATGAATAAATAACTATTTAAAAACATTAGGTGATCATGAAAAGACAGTGTATAAAGATGCAGAAAGAAATCTGCATCACGAGAACAAAATCATTACAGTACAGCATGTTATGAGCAGCCGGATGAAAATCGCCTGCTACAGAGCAGTCAAGAGCCCTTCTGAAGGCAGCGCTGTGCATATACAATAAGCAACTAGGTGCTGGATGCTGAACTGCCTGCAGCCCAGCTCATCACATCTGAGGTAACAGCCCCGTATCATCCACAGTATAAAAGAACCATTTTGAAAAAGCTACATCTCATTACTTTTCTTTGTGCTCACCCTCTTGCCCAGCAAGTGGACATCTGAGTGAAAGAAAAAAAAAATGTAAAAAGCTAAAAATTTACCATTCTTAAAAAAAAGTAATTTTGCTTGTAAGATATCCTTTGGAGCTTCCATCCTCCTTCAGGTGGAGAGCGATATATTAAAATTACATCTACAGAGACATATTTGTACATTTGACAATCACTGATCTGAGGAATAATTGCCTGGCTTATCTTTAAAGAAAACCAAATGACTAATGCAGTTTTCCCCCTGCACCCCCACTGTATTACATGAGAGACAGGTAGACCACAATAGTGACCGCTAGCTAAGAGGCAGTCCTCAGACCAGCTGCTCTTAAAGTCACAGCCACAGCTTTAAAAGACCATACCATGGTGACAAAACCCACCGAAGGGCATGTCTCCATGCATCTGTTTTGAAACCAAAAGAACTCCTAGGCAGAGATGATTCCCAAGGAAGCTTCTTTACTTCTTCATGAGCTATAAATGGCACTCTACTTTTCTTTCCAGCCCACATTCCCATCACTGGAGAGAAAATCAACCCTCTTCAACTATGAGAGACACACACCATCAGGGAGAAAACACAGCATCTACAAAAGAGAACTTAGAAGATAGGTACCCATTTGAGGGAGCCTTGCAGTCAGATCCTGCCCTCAAGGGGCCTGGAACCAAAAAAAAAACTTCTCTAAATGAAAAAATTGCTACTGACACTGCTCTTCCACTGCCACAAAAGAGGCATTTTAGGGACTGAATTTCTCAGATACCCTCCATTCACCTGGTGAATCTAGTTCCAATGTGACAAAAAAGTGAATGCGAACATATGTAAAGTGCACTCTATCCTGCTCACCTGGGATGGATGCCGAGACCAACTCTTACAGCACAGAAAAGGCTTGCGGGAGTTCAGCCCTCTCACCTGAAAACAATTAAATCTGAAGCGGTGCATCTACATTGGAGGCGAACAACAGCCAGCTAGGTATCGTCACAGGTAGGATGGTAAATGCCTTAATAGAGCAAGATTGGCCAACTTGGGCCAAAGCTGCAAAGAAATCAGAAAAAAAAAACAAAAAAACAACTAATTGGTTCAGGCTGTTAAACGTTTTGAGGCACAGAGAAGTTAAGTGTTTCAGGTAACTGATATTCCAGGAGGAGGAGGAATGTGGTGATGTTTTTCCAGGCCTCCTTCTGGTGGCCCCCAATGTCCGATGCCCACTTCACTTCCTGTTCAAGCCCCAGGGGAGCTGACATCCAAGCTTTTCAGTTGATCCCAGTCCCTGGAGAGCTCTGGCCTCAGCTTCCATTATCATCAGGAGAATGATGGGAGGGACGCCAGAGACAGGTGTCTAGGCACAGCCAGTGAGGTCTCTGCCTAAAAGCCAGAGAGGAAGAGAAACAAAGCCATTAATTATACCACTGCCAAATGGCAAATAACGCAAAGTAAAGCAGGATCCCTCCCCTCCGCTTCCGCTGCTTCCTCACCGCCCGCATCCTCACATCCACACACGCATGCACACACAGGTGTGCTTGCACACATCCCTTTACTCTCGGGAGTCAGACAAACTCCAGTGGCGCGGTCACGGGCTTTCTTCCCGGAGTAACCGTCCTTGCCCCACGTTGGACCAGGCACTCCTTTCTGACCTGGACCGTAAGCTGCATACCCAAGATATGAGGCAGAAACTGTAAGGACCCCTGCAGTAAAAGGCGAGTATGTATGCTCCATCAGCAGAAAGACCATGCCAAGAAAGTGATATTGCAGTCAGGGGCCACTTGGCTTCTGAGGAGAGTCTCTATCATTTGCAGTTATCCCAGTCCATTCTAAAACCAGTCATCAGAACAGAAATCAACTTCTTGCCATAAAATGGGATTTAACATTTTGGCTTGTGAAAAAGTGTTCTCCCTACAACAGTGTTTCTCAAATGTTGTGTGCACTTGAATCGCTTAGTAATCCTGCTTTTGACTCAGTAGGCCTGGGATGGATCCCAAGAGTCTGCATGTCTGCGCTCTGCGTCCTTGTTAGGGCAACAAGGAATAACGTATGAGAATGGTGACACAATTCCACCTGCACTTCCTGTCCCAGAAGAAGTTAAATGCCATTTTATCCCACTGTCTGTCATCTCTTTAGAAACAGGCAGGTCATATTTTAGAAGGAACAGCCCACTAACTGCTAAGAGATCACCCAAGGTTTTCTTTACAATAAATAAGGAGTTACATGTTGGTGGCGAGAGTCACAGCACAGTGTGGTCAAAGGTGATTTTTTTCTTCATTCTTGTAGAGGCGCCAAAAGTACACACAACTCCTACTGAAGTTCACGTGTTTTCCATAATGTCCTTCCCATCTTCCCCAGAAGGTGGTGAAAGAGCGCCACGCCTGCACCAAGGACGCCAGTCACACTGGGAACCGGCTGTGGCTTGTCTGAAGCTCAGACACTGAGCAGCATAAGGCAGTTTTGGGGGTGGTGGGATGGGTGGAGAACACAACCCAAAATACAAAACAAAAAACCCAGAAGCCTTCTGATAGGTTCAAGTTACTCAACAATTTTATTTACCCATTCTACACACACACACACAAAACACATTTCAAATACAGTTATACACACCTTATATAGATCTAAGTGGCATATTTTGATATCAATGTCACCAGATTAAATCAGGATGCTGCTAAGGACTTACATTCCTTCTTTAAACAGAGCTGTGCCTAGGAAATCAGCAGCACAGATCTATTGTTTGGGTTCCCAATTCAGGTCATTCCCATTCGACGACCCAATAGTGCTTAGCTCACTTCCAACCCTCTCCAAAGGGCACAGTTGGTGATCAGTCCTTTGTTTTTGCCGCAGCAAAACCATCACCATATCAGAATGAGTTGATCTTGTTACTTCAACATAATGAAAAAAAGGTGCACAAGCAATTCAGATACAAAAACGTTGAGTAGGTCAAGGTTGGACATAGATCGCCAGTGAAAGGCTTGCTGGAAAGAATACTTTGCCACCTCTTAAAATCAATTTTTGAATGCAAAATTTCCTTTGCATTTTTGTTTATTATATTATGAGTGAAGAGCCAAACGCATGGCAGACTAGAAACAGCAGCATTGTCCAGTGGAGTGCTACCTTTCATAACAGGGAAGCTGAGAACACAGAAGGTTCAGAAACAGAGAGTAAAAGTGGAATCCTGCCTAGAAGCAGGGGAGTGCATGAGATGACTTCAAGTAGAGTAATAACTCCAGGCTTTGAGCAGGCATTTCTGAGCTGAGTTTACAAAATATCATCCAAGTGATGTTCAACCTTCATTTTCTAAAAAATGATGATAATTTGGCTGCTACGCTAAAAGAAATGTCTATTAAAAATCAGTGTACAGAATTTCCCCCTAAAGAAAACATGTGGAGTATTTACTTCCGTTCATTGTACTACACATGCAAAAGACAGAGAATTACAATAATGTGCATACACTACCTACTGGTACAATTAGAAAACAGACTGTCAACTTACAGATCCAACTTAGTACAGTCTGTCAGTCAGTCAGCATATAGATTCTCTTAGAGTCTGTCAGTCAGACAGGGACCCTACTACCATCTGTCAGTCAGTCAGCATACAGGTCCTCTTAGTCTGTCAGTCAGACAGGGACCCTACTATAGTCTGTCAGTCAGTCAGCAAACAGATACTACTAGGCAGAGTCTTCTGGACACTATAAGTCTAAATTAAATTCCTGGACATCCTTCTGATGTCCGTTTCACCTCTATGGGAAGTCAGAGATCAATCCTGCTAAACTTGATTCAATTGTTACATGATTTTTGAAATTAAAATATTTGAAAACACAAGCAAGTCAAAACGCATACTGGAAAACCTGGGTGAATTTATCAAATTTCTTGAAAACAAACACAACATGGATTCTGAGCTTAGCAAAGACAATGGAAGGTGTATAAGACTATATAACCAGGTATAGTTCTCTCCATTTTTAGATACATTTCTCTTGTTCTTTAGCTACCCCAAGCATCCATGAGTTTCTCTGGAACTCAGGTCCCCTGCTCATAGGAAAACCATAACATGGATTTATTTCCAAACAGCTATATCATGTTTCTTCAAATCGCCAGTACCTCTGAAGATCAAGTGGGCTGCAAAGAGGAACACCAGAACCTCACAGGAAACAACTCAATGGTTCAGGAATACAATAGGAATACAATATACTATTTGTATTCCTAACTTCTTGGGGGGGAAAAAAAAACAAAACAAAGAGAACGATAAGCCTTTTTAAAAGAGTTTCTTTTTTGACTTGCCAATTGAATGTAAAACAATTCCCTTACCAAAGCGAAACCAAAGACAATACAGATAACAAGTAGCAGCTGAATTCCAATCTGAGGATTAGGAGCTAGAAAGAGAAACTTTAGAATAAATCTGCTTTAGATTCCTCTTTCAAGTCTGTCACAGAATTCCTCATTCAGCTTTGAAGCAAGAAAAAGAAAACAGAATATGCAGTGCTTTTCCTTTCCCCGTTTTATACCAGTAGATCGATAATAAAGCTTTCACCTATTTCTCCCACAACAAAACTGAAAGCCTCAGCAAAAAGTACTCTGGAGTCCGTTCTTTCTTTGTAGGTAGGATTCATGATCTAGACATAATCATAGTAATGCGTACGTGCTATTAATACACAGTCAACTAAGAATGGGAGAGGAGGACAAGAAAGAAAAGATAGGAAGCAGGACTTGTCTAAAATTTGGGGTACGAGTGCTCTTTCATCCTAGTATGTTCTCCTGGCTTCTTCCTGCTGAACTTTCTCCAGAGAGATCTTGCTCTAGAAACTGAAGAATGCTGAAACCCTTGCTGTTGTCAAATTCTAATTTCTCGTGTCCTATCTGAGAGTAATAAGACCAGCTCAGGCTCCTCTTCAGGGAGAGGCCAAGTAGCACAAGGGGAGAGTGAAGAAATCCTCAACGTGAACATTCCAGTGACCTGTGGCTCGTGTTGGGGTTTGTAACAAAGGTGACATAATGCTAGTTTGTTAGAGACTTCTCTCTCTAAGAGTATGTACAGCCACAGTCTTTGGATCAAAATGCTCCTTCTCGTTCATTAGCTCTGAATTCCTCACCACACAGCAGGAGAGGAGAATGAATGAATGCTCATTTAGGCTAAAGATGCCACCAGCCAAGCAAAGTTAGATAAGGCAACCTCTTAAAAGCGCCATACTGCCTCCTAGACCACGTCTTATCCTCACATAGGGGTTGGGGGAAGGGGGCATTCCTACCTCCCAACTCTTTTAGTCTCATGGCCATAGGACAAGAGAAAAGTCAGGAGAAACAATCTGTATTCTACTTCAGTGCCCTCACTTACAGACTCAAAGAATTGCTCTTCTGCAAATGTTCATTTATTGTAAATTGTATGCCCTGTCTCTAAAATAACCTTCTTTAGGGCAAGCACGTTTTCTTCTACTTCTCTTTACCCTACCCCACCCCCATCTCCACCCAGCCCAAAGCCCCACAAACTGAGGAAGGAAGTACACGTTACGTAAATGGCGAAATCGGAAGAGCACGTTACTTTACATCTTGGACGCAATTTCCAGCAGAATCTAGGCAAGCAGTCTTTGGAAACTGGCCGTGATGTTCTACTCAAGATACAAGAATAAAGGACTCAAGGTCACAAGTCAGCTACGTGTAATGATAACCTTTATCATCCTACAGGTTTTCTCTCAGTACCTATCTCGAGGGTGCTTAAAATTCCCAGCTATTACCCAAGGACATTTATTTAGGTAGTGATTTGTTCCACATCACCATAACAGCCTGATTACAAGAGGATCACTTCATGTAATATGTTGATCTGCTAAACATCTAACTCCAAAGAACTGACCTTTAAGAACCATGAAAAATTCAGAATTCCTAGGTTGATGCTTTGTCCAAGGAACTACAATCCCAGTATGTCTCCACCCAACTTCATAAATGGAGTCCTAACCTGGAGTATGTAGGAATCAGAATTAGCGAAGCTATTTAAGTACACCTATGTCCAGACCCTAATCCCAGATATTCTGAGTTAATATTAAGCCTAAAGTAAACCCAGGCATGTGTACATTTCAGAGGGTCTAAAGGGGTTTTAACAAATACTCCTAGTTAAGAATCATGACGAAGGGCCTTCTATTACCAAAAACACCCAAATAGCCACTGGTTACCTCTAAAAGACAAATTGATAGCTTTAAGAGGGGAGTCATCTCTCTCTTTTAAAAATTTCATGAGCACTCTAGACTTGCTTCTCAGAAAAATGCCCATATAGTCATATGTTCTGCATACAAATTTGGGAGGCGGAGCATGCTATCATGGGCTACCAGGGGGCTAAGAATCCCTGCTCTAAACATTTCCTGTTTAACCCCACATAGAAAATAAAATGACAGGCGTAGGTAAATACAGGCAGTGAATAGTTAGACCCCACCCACATGGTTCCAAAGACTCCTTTAGGTTTTTCAAATTAAAAAGGCAAGTTTTGGAAATTACTGGAAAATACAAGGCAACTCTAGTGAACTCTGCTCTACCTTTTGACAAGCATCAGTGGTGACTCCTAAATCTAACTGTCCTTCTAAATGGTCCCAGAGGTCACTGGCTTGCAGTGGTTGGCAAAGACGCTGAGAGCCACCTGAGAAAAGATATAACCTGCCCTACGAGAGCCCTGCAGGAGCTACAGTCCACCCTATTCTCCTGACCCTCACTCCACAGCAGCCAAAGGACCTACACTATGCCTGTCTCTTGAAGTAAAAAATACAAACCAAGATATTTCCCACATACTCAGAGCCAGCTTCCCGCAGGGCGTCAAAGCCTTAGGACTGTTTCTCATGAAAGGCGGCAAGAACTGTCACCCTGTAGCCACCTACGGGCTCCAGAGCATTTCTGGGTGTTCTATGGCCTAGGCTGAGCCTTGCGGAACCTGCCTTGAAATAAGGGAAAAGAAAGGCTTCCCCAGTGCAGACCCATTTAGGCGCACTGCAGAGAGCATCAATGGAGCCTGGACTTCTCTCTCGACAACCTTCCCTTCCCTCCTAGACAGACACCACAATGACAATCACATGCATCACACTGGACAATCCAAAGGGGAAATGAGGGAAGGGGAGGAAAGCAGGCAGGTAAGGACTGTGAGTAAAGCACACCTTAAAGAGACAAAGGTGATGGGAAAATGGGCTTCTGTGTCCCCCTCCACACCATTCTGCACTTCACCAACACAGGGACGTCAGTGACTTTAGATACCAGGGATGGACAAGAACCAAGTATATTGGGCATGCTTAGCCTCAACCCCAGCAATGCCAATCACCACAGGGTGAGGTATCCCTTTTCCTCCTCCTCCAGACCACCTCAACTGAGGTCTTGTCCTAAAACACCCAACTCAACAACTTGACCCTGGGCAGTGGGATGTTTCACACTGCAGAATAGCTAAGGTTGGTCTGGAAACACAAAGCCTCACATTCTGTGTTAAGTAAGATTCGTGATGGGGTACTGGGGGGGGGGGTTGGAAGTTAAATGACTCCTTGTGATTAGTGACAAGGGTGAGATGCCACGACCAGAAGGAAACACACGGTTACACCACCGGAATGCTGACTTGGGTCTTCGGCTGGTCGGCCCCTTCTTGCATGTCCAGGGCACGGAGAGGGCTGAGGGGCTTGAGGGGCCGGCTCCCAACACTGTAATTTCTTGGACGCCTTATTGTATTCGAACTGGACAGAGGCGTAAAGCTGTTCCTTCTCATCCTTACAGGGGTTTGGTTCTTGGGGAAGTTGTTCTGATTGGAAACGGAGGGACACCACACAAATGAAAGCCAAGACAAAAGCTCACTCATAGAGGTTAAATAATGCTTGTAACCACAACAGCTCCCTCCACTCCTGCTCCTCTGCAGACAGTCTCCATAAGACCTGGGCCATGGCCTGGTCCCTCGCCCTGGGAAGCTATGGGGTTGTAGAGGGAGAAACTCCTTGAGCATCACACTCCAGAGCAGGAAAGAGAGGCAAAGAAAGGGAGGGGCTTACTTAAGACCAGACAGATGATCAGGACAGGCCTAGGAATGAACCCACACCTCTTTACCCCACCTTACAGGTTTTTCTGGGTCCCGCTTTCTAAAGGGAGAACTTTCCTGGAGGGAAAAGTTGCATTTCACTTCAGTCAAACACTTTCCATACTTAATTGGCTTTCTAGGAGCCAACTTTCAAGGTCAACACTCATAAAAGAGGTACTACTCTTAAAAAATAATAATTCCAACATCTCTTCCATTTGGGAGTAACAGACTGTATAGGACATGAGTTCTGGATCTGTTTTCCTTTTGTACATAAAAGAAACCCCAGTGTCTTGATGCCAAAGATTCAAAGACTGAAGGTGGCGGGGAACCTGCATGTTCCTCTGTGGGAAAATACTTACAGTTGGCTTGTCACGGTGAGTGTTCACAGCCTCCACATTGAGTTTAATGGTTTCCACTTTGCACCCTGGGACAACAGAGGCAACAAAAGAGGCCTTCAGGAAAAAAGCTCAAAGAAAAATTCCTTAGTTTCAGTTTGGGAAAGCATACTGTAAAATAAAAGCACACCATACATACACACATTTAAAACTGGAAGGCACTGATGGCATTTCCCCGGAATACAGGGGTGATGAAGTTGAACTTCTACACAAACGTCAGAGAAAATTCAAAAAGTCTGACCTTCCTCAATCCCCACCTCCTGCCCAGCTCTGAAATTCATAGTTACCGTAGGCCACAGGGGTAAGTTTGAAGATGGTATGAAGAGGGCACCTCAAGTATGGGAGCTCATCTGAAAACAGAAAGACCAGGTGAGGGAACTCTTAGTATTACGGAGCAAGGTCAAACTAGTGGAAGGAAGCATCTAAGAAGCTCAGGGGTTTTCTTTACCCTGACCTCGAGTTCTACAACTCCTTCCCTAAACCTCAGACAATTATCAAGATGGCCACCAAAGACGCCAGACCAGCTACTGGGTGGCTAAGAAAAGAAATAAGTCTACTTTAGATGGTTCCATGCAGGCAAAGCAGAAGTACTGCAGCCTCTAGGACCCCACGGAAGGGAAAATTGTGGCCCACATGGGTACACCAAAGGCCAATCTGCAGGCTTCCCAGCAGCTCAGGTAGATCAGGAAGGAAGTGTCAGAGAAGGCAACAGCACTTCCTACGGCTCTACCCAGAAACTGTCCTACCCTGAATCCAAAGGATGACGACACTTCTAAGACACCACCCTCCTTATAGCCAAAGTAACAAGCTGGGAATATTCAACCACTTTTCTGACGATGCCAAGAGTGTCAGCTTGACGCTGCCCTTGAGCCCAGCAGGACTGAGGAGCTCTAGCGGTAGCCACTCTCCACTGGGGGCTTTTGTACCAGCGGAGTCAATTCAGCAAGTAGCTGGCCCGGTGGCTGCCGGGAGCCCCACACTACTGCCTCAGGAATGTACTCAAATTTGAACGGAAGAGGGAAAAGTCTGGTTGCCAGGGATCCTGGTGCCACCCCAAGTCCAGGCCCCTCACTTGAATATGTCCCCCAGCCCTTCCCTCAGTGGCACCTGCGCCCTTATCCAAGAAGTAGGCCAGGAGGCAGCGCATGACAGCTTGGTGGGAGATGACAAGGACGTTGCCCTGACGCTCCAGCTCCATTATGACAGGCTCCAGCCGCTGCACCAGGTCCTGATACGACTGTGGGGAGAAGTGGGGCAGGCTGGTAGGCGGCCAGGCGCCAGCTGGCGGCCGAGCCAGTGGCTGCGTCCAGCTAAGAGGCAGTGCCCCTTTCCCAGCTGGAAGTTCATGTCACCTGCTAATACCCCCCAGCCCTGGTCTCTCTTAACAATATTCAGGCCTTTCAGAGCAACATTCAGACCGAGAAAACTACAGGTCAAGTAAAAGAAATCTGAATTCAGCCTGTGTTTTGTTTTTTTCTTCCAAAGGTTAACAGGCAGAGTACAAGGCAACAAGAGGCTCCTCGGGGTTTGCTGGACCTCCGCCGTTCTGTGGATCGACCTTTGCCTCACACATAGCTCGACTCTGAAGCCCCTTAGACCAGGAAACAGAGTAAAACACCAACGATGACAGGGAAATCATTCCTAGCCCATATATTTACTCGGTGCCCATACCTGCTTGGCTGGGGGTGGGATTGAGGGAGTGGAATGAAAAAAAGGAAGTAAAAACGATCATATTGACTCTACAGTATCCTCAACACAGAGGCTCTCCTGTCACCCTTTTCCCCCGGACATCTTAACAAGTTAATGAGGCATTCGACTGCCTAAGCTGAATTAAACACGGTATGTATGACCCAAAGGTGGGAGGATGAACTAAATGATGCCGTAAGTACCCTTTCTAGATCCCCAAATCACACTCAACCCTTCCCCCAAATTAACTCTAATCCCTCAGCAAAGGACGGGGCAGTCGCCCACGCGAGGGGACTCTCACCTCCCCACCAGGATAGCGATACAGGTATTTCTCTTGATCTCGAAGTGCAAACTCATCTGGGTACTGCTTCTCAATCTCCGCGTAAGTCATCTCTTCGCACATGCCCTGCAAGGAGCCACACTGCCTTACAGAGGCTGACCGACCCATACAGCCGCACCCAAATGAGGAAGACAACACGGAAGAATGCCAGCGTTTTACTACGTGCCAGGCACGGTGCCAAGTCCTTTTATGTCCTGCAACTGACTGGCCAGGGTGTCTGGGACCGGCAGAGAGGACGCGGCTTCTCTAGCACAAGCTGCCACTTTCTCCAACGGCTGTGGGGAACTTAAAGGTCAAGAACAGTCAGCAGGAAAAAAGGAACAGGAAGCAGGGAAGGAGGGGAAACTGACCCTGGAGAATTCCTGCAGAAGGCATAAAAGGCTACAGAGGAAGGAAAGGAAAAGAAATGCCTACTTTTGTACTCAAGGACAAAGAAAGCCAAGAAAAAAATTGAAAAGGACTTTTTCAGACTAGCTGACCAAATGACGTAAGCTGCAATTAAAGGAGTGAGTTGTCAGCTATTACGTTTTCCCGGGAAGATAATATATGAAGGAACCAAATGGAGCCCCACTCTCTCCAGGTGCCAAAGTAGCTAGGTCAAAAATTGGTATGGATCACATTATTGGTAGAGGCACTCAAGCAGTCAAGAAGCCCTGGCCAAGGGTGCAATTGTTCCCACTTCCTCCCCAAGCCCGCCACAGATTCAACTTCCTCCAAGTTTCTACTTGATGGTTCTCGTTTTTTAGATAAAAAAAACTGTCCACATCGTGATTTCTGAGACTTCCTGCCTGAAGATGAGACCAGGCTGGCCATCAAAGCTTCCTACTCACGGCATCAATCTCATTCAGAATCTTCCACTGCTCGTAGGTCACCCCCAGAGATTCAGCAGTCTGGATAGTCCTCTTCAACTGGCTCGTCCACACTTTGAGGTCTGCTATCTCCTGTTCCTCCAGAAACTTCCTTAGAGCCTGGGCAAACTGGGGTTTCAAATAAAAATTTTAAAAGAAGCAAAAAACACAACTGCTGACTCAGCCTATAACGGTCAAAGTCTGAAAGGTGCTGCATGTAATAAACCCACGAGGAAATCATCTCCGACGGGATCGCCCTGTTCTGTGCTAAGCACTCCTAGTTGTTCCCATTAAATATCTGACGGCTGAATGACCACAGCAGAAATGGTTCCAAGTTGCCCATACTTCAATACAGAGCTAGAATCAGTGAAGAAGAAAACACCTTTGGCATTTGCTTGGCCATCTGAAACCACAGCCTAAGCCCTAGTGGGATTTAGGAAGCAGTAAGGGGACAAAAGACATGACCTCCACCATGCTCTCTAACTCTAAGCTTAGGCACTCTAGCCTGCTGGCTAACTACTCACCTGTTTTCCCCGCACCGAGAGGCCAGAGTCACCCCCAATCTTCCCCAGGAGATTGAACTCGCTCTCTCCATGCCGGCAAAGGTAAATGGTGCGAGGCTGGACGTGGATATTCATGAGGTAGTAGACGATCTTGCTCTGGATGTAGTCCTGGACTCTGTTCACTAAAAATCGCTGGCCCACATTTATCACCTTGATGAAAGAAAGATCCCTGGGACAGAAGGGGGAAAAAAATCCTCTGGGTATAAAAATCTGAGGGTAACAGCACGGGGGGGAAAGGATTTCGTAGTTACTTGCAGGCTCACAGCAGCTCTTCCTCCACTCCTGTCATAACCGCACCCACATTTAAGGAACCAAATGGTAAGAGATGGATTACTCCTCAGAACCAAGATGATATATAAAAAGAACCAAGATGAAGTAAAATTTCCCCAACTTTTAGTCAGCCGGTACCATTCCCTCAGTGCCTATACTGTGCCACGCACAATACTAAGTGTGATAAACAGAATTCAGACTTCCCCTCAACGAGGTGAACTGAAGGTTATGCTCAACTTGAAATTTGGGGAGAAGCAGCACTGCCACTTGAGGTGACTGAGACCCAGCCAGAGCAAAGCGTCCCCAGCAGTGAGGGGAGGACAGGAGGACACTGACCCATGGACAGAGAGCTCTGCACATTCCCGGCTTCTACCTAAATCAAGCTTCCTCACAGGCACTTCCATGGACTGCGTGTTTTGTGGCCATTATGGAATTTCTCTCCTTATAAAAATAGTAAGAGCTTATTTCAAAAAACTTTTCCAAAAAGAAAAAAATGGAATAATGCAAATAAAAACCACCCATAACCCTACCACAAGAGATAACATCTATAAACACACACATACACGCGCGCGCTCTTCTAGAATATTTTTCTATGTAGGACTTTGAGCTAACTGAAGAATACATGATGTCATATCTAAGGCAGTGGTTTTCAACCTCTGTATTAAAGTACACCTCCAAACATTAACACTCTGAGCAAACCTTGAAGGAAATTAAAAACTCCAAAGCAGGCCACTGAAGCGATCACACAGTGAGTTACACACACTTGTCTCACCACTTGCTTGGCCGCAGGGCTCTATTCTTATTTGAATAGAGCTGATAACTGGTTGGACTGCATGCCTTTCCAAAGGCCACATTCTCACAGGTTTCCATGTGCACACATCTTTCTTCAACGTGGACTTGACATTTTCTTCTTATGGCTCCTAGACCTCACACACATCATTAACCTGTACTGTGTATCACTTTGCTGACAGACGCCGCCATAGTAATGAGAGCTAGCACTGATCAGACATTTCTCCAAGCCAGACATGTTCCTGAGGGCTTTACATGTTTTATTTATATACATACTATGTTATCTGTTATATATGTTACATGTTATATATAACAGAACATATCACATATACATGTATATTATTTTGTATGTTATATTATATTACATATGTAATATGTGTATATATATGTACTAATATATAACACATACACACAATAAACTTTTAAAACTGATGACACATCTCTAAGGGATGTCCTACCACACCCTAGTTCAAAACTACTGATCCAGAGCTGTGCTTCTCAGCCAAGGGTCATTTTATTCCGCAGGGACATTTAGCAATGTCTGGAAACATTTTGGGTTGTCACAGGTTGGGAGTGTTACTGGTATCCAGTGGGCAGAGGCCAGGGATGCTGGTCAACATCCTACAATGTACAAGACAGTTCCCTACAACAAAGAATTATCCAGTTCAAAATGTCAGTATTACTGAGCTTGAGAAATCTTGCTGTAGAGGATAGACAGGAAGAATTGATGATAAAAAACACCTCAGTGTTCAGGTATAAGATGCAACCCACATAGAAGCCACAAATCCATACCTTGTTTCTGTGGAGTGATATAAACATTATGGGTCTGTACTGTCAGGAGAAAGTTTGGGAACAGAGATAGAAAGGCTCTTTTCTCAAATGAGACCCCTGTCTCAGGCCCTTTAAACCTTACTTGTCATAGTTGTCTGGGTCAAGGGGTCGATAGGTGACTTTGTAGCACTCAATTCTCTTTAGGAAGTCCTCCATCACATTCTCCCTGTTCCTTTCAGGGTAGTCAGGGCTCGACACCTTTACCTCCTATAATCATAAGAGCAGGGCCTAGTCAGAGGTATGCCCTCAATAACCCTCCTGCAAATAGCAAAAAGTGGCTACTGTGAAATAAAGAACAGGAAGTCCATAGAAGTGGCCTTTCACTGGAGTGCTGGCAATCCCCATTCACTGAGCGCCGCCTCCTCCCCCACAGTCCTATGACCCTGGAAAGTAAGAAGGGAAAGACAACTGGGGAATCATGTGCCTGCCCTTGGCTGAAGGACAGTGGCAGTCATGCAACTGAAGCTGCTCTTGTGCCCCAATCCCTTCATGTACCTTCCTGGGAAAAGAGAATGGGCTCCAATTCTCCAAGACCATTCAGAATAGGGTAATTAATGTGATGCATGCCTGAGTGGGGCCAGAGGGCTCTTCCTTAGACAATCCCAAGTTCCCATGTTGCTGGGAAAGCACCACCATGATACCATGCATGGACGTCTATTCAGCAAAGCACAATCCATCAAATGGGCATTGCTTTATGCTGTGACCACACAGGGCAAGAGGCATTCAGTGCATAGAGCACTGACCTGCATAGTAGACAATCCTAGGCAGATGACCTTCCTAGAAAGTGGCCCTGACAGATAATGAAGAGTCTGGTCTATTCTACGAATACCCCTAGGTCTCAGCACCCAGCTAATACCCAAAACACAGAGCCATGATGCCTACAGTCTAAGTCTTGGTCTCCATTTGACAGCTAATTCTTACTTTATTCCTCCAAGCCTCAGCTTCCTCTCCCAAGGGAAGGGTGTGGAAGTGCAAAATAGTGCTCTGGCAGATCAAACAGATCATTCTGTGATGTTAAACACATCTATTTATCTATTTCTTTCTTCTATTACCCAGTTGACTCCCCCCCAAACACACACACACACACACACACACACACACACACACACGGCACAATGGATAAAAAGTGGTGCTATGCAGAGGTGTCACCCACCAGGATGTTGGCAGCGATGACATCAGGATCATCACAAACAGATTCCACAAAGAACACCTGGCCAGGGAGAGAAGGCAGTGACAAGTGAGTCAAAAATGACCAGGCTGTTCATTAAAAGCACATGCTCATACCTGCCCCACCCCAGCCAACACATCCCCCAGGATTTTCTGTCATAAAAGTGCCCTTCAAGGCCTCTGTATTTAAAAATAGCTCTTACCACATCCCCAGGGCCTCAGACATGCAAGCTAAGGGTCTGAGGGAGGACCTGCAAAGAAACACTCAAGGACTGGGGGTATGCCCCCAGAGGAGAGAATCAGAGATCCGATTCTGTCCTCACTCACCAGAGTCAAACAGAGCCACACGGCCCTCCTCAAAGCCCACCTCCATTCATCCCCTTCCTTCCAGCACGGCGGCAGATCCTACCTTGAAAGAATTCTCCTTGGCAAAGTTCAAAATCATGTCCCTCCTCTCCCTGGTGGTGTTGGTGGCATCAAACACCTGGGAAGAGAGCCCCACAAGGTAGATAAGTGAGAAATGGAATCACGCCAAGGTGGGGCTGTACAGCCTTGGAAGGGTAGAGGCTAAGACAGGGAAGAGGCAGGGAAGGCTTACCGCAATCTGCCCGCTCTCCTCAGTGAGATATGCCTTCACGTCTTCCAGGGCCACCACAGCACACTGTCTGCCAGGAGAGCAGGGGACATCAGCAAGAGGAGGAGGATGAGACCAAGCTCAAGCACAGCCAGAGACAAGACCAGTTGGGTTGCCATAGGAATCACGTGGCTTCCTGCTTAGTTTTCCCGCTGGTCAACAATTTTCCCTAACTAGGCCTTCCAATTTCCCCACTGAGATATTTCCACCATCCTGTATCTTTCCCCTCTCCCCCCAACCATATACACATCTTACCCTTCTGCAAGCTTAACCTATAAGCATATATGCATTTCCCGGAGCCCTGTTCTTCTACCCACCCAAGCCCAAAGTGACCTGTCGTGGGAATCACTTCCACTTAAAATCCCCACAGGATATTTACTGAAAGGAAAACCCAAGCCCTGTCACATCCACTCTTGTGACGGCCGAGAAAGAGCTGGTCCAGAGGTCAGGCCTAAGCAAACTCACTTGCGAATCTTCATGGCCTCCTCGTTGTCATGTCGGAAGAAGTCATAGGACTTATAGGACTTGACTGCTTCACGCCGATACACCCCAAGATTAAACACTGCAAAAGGCAGCAACACCCCTCAGTGGTGAAACAATACAATGACCCCACCAAACGGGACTTCCTGCTCTAATGTCAGAGTGGCCAAGGGGATGAAAAAGGCAGCAAGGTACATTAGGAACAATAAAAGATTAAGAGTCAAGTTAGGCTCGAGCTCAGACTTATTAGACCTTGGGCAAGTCTTAAGCTGCCCGAGTTTCCATCTCCTCAGCCACTTTGGCTATTTCACCAGGGTACCCCTAGGATTCCACAAGATGACGCATATGTAAGGGCTTTGAAAATATAACACCATATACTATCAAAGGCATTTCCTCAGATTACGCCAATCCACCAGGCTAGGAGGAAACAAGTCTGTGAACAGAGAATCAATTCAGTAAAGCGGGAAGCAACCGCGATTTCTTCCAGTACCCTGTAACCTGGATGCCAGGAAGAATAAATCCCCCGGAGGCCTGTGAGACCAAGGAACTGATCATTACCCTCCCCAAAGAATGAATGACCTGCACCTACCTTTGGTGGGCACCCCAATCCAGTTAAGGTAGCGTGTGAGCTTCTTGGACACATAGGTTTTACCTCGGGCTGGCAAGCCAATCATAACGATGAGAGTAGGGGAGTTGGTCATGTAGGACGCCCACGCTAGAAGGGGAATGAAACAGAATAGAGCCAAGTCAAGTTCATGGGCTGGGCTAAGAACTTGATGGACACAATCTCGTTTAATTCTCATAAACCTCAGCAAGGCAAGGGTCCAGAAAGACTGGGAAGGCAAACTGAGGAGACAGTGGGTGAACAGTCCCTGAATAGCGTTAAAGGGTCATGCAGACTTCTAGAAAGTCCCCAAGCCAAGACGTATCTTCTCCGCATGTCCAAGATGTTCACAGAGGTACCCAAGGTGGAAAGAGAGGGAAAAGTGGCAAAGATTAGAAAGACAGTAACTATCCTTAATATGAGAATGTCTAGTAACACTAGCATGACAGCTGTGAAGGAAGGTCTTGTGCCTGGAGGCTCTACCGGCGCAGAGTTGAGCAAGCTCCCATAATAGGTAAAACAGAGTGTCTACCTTGAGAATGTCATCTGTCCCTTCAGAGCCACGAGCAAGAATTAGCTTGCTCACCACAAAAAAAAAAAAAAAAAACACCTGGCTTGAAGTTGTTTTGGCCTTGAGCTCAGGACATGACCTTAAGCCAGAATTTCTAAACCACAGTTGAGATTTAGACTGTGGAAAAGTCTACTTGACACAGGTGCTGACGAGACCTCAGGAAGCTTCAATAAAGCTTAGCCCACAAGGGCATGACAGCCAGCCTGCTTCCATGGCCCAAATAAAAGGAAAGCAAGACAATTTAGAAGCAGGAACAGTCATTGGTCCTTACAAAACTTATTTTGGAAATGCTTATTTACAAAGACAGGTCTCATTGGATAGGTGAGGCAAACTAGGCGTTCAGAGGTCAGGTGCCTTGCTAAGGACACACATAAGTCACAGGACAAGCTGTCATTCGAGTCTAGATCTTGTGCTTCCAGGGCAACTTTTCTCCATGACAAGAGCCTGATCCCTCGTCAGCTTGCTCCCAGGGGCTGGCTCGTCTTTGCCCATCCTGCCACAGAGGAGTGGTGGGAGAGGGCCCCGCGCTGCTGCCAGCCACTGTCCTGCGTCCAAGGCCTAAATGAGGGGATGGGAGAGGGAAAGAACCACCGTGTGCTTCCCAGCACTGCCTCCCAGAGGGTGTGCTGCAAGTTGCTCCTGCTGCTCTACCCTGGACAAGGTGGCCCGATAAGGCTAAGAAACAAGCCAGTAAAATTGAAGTATTTGCAAAGGCATCTTTCATCTTTTGAGAAAGGCCTGTAAAAGGATCTCAATGGAGAAGTAAGCAGAAGGCCTGGGTAGAGAACAGACCTCAGAAGGAAGAGTTTCCTAGGGGTGTTTGGCAAGAACACTCGGAAGCCAAAGAATGGCCCAAGCAATGAGGGCGGGGTCGACTCAGGGGCGGCGTGCTTAGTATTAGTCCCAGTCTTCCAGGCACATGGAAACTTCATGGACCTGGGCATGAGCTCCTCCCAAGCTAGGTGATGAGCAACAGAAGTGATTTTCATCCTTCCCAACATGGGGCAAAATGGCAGCCTCAGCTCATATGAATCCCTGACCGCTAAGCCCTGATGGGAATCAGCCCCAGATCAGCTGCCTCGGGTTTCAGCCGTCGAATCCTCTGAGTCTTCACTTTCTCCAGCTCAGCACCGTACTCTTCTCAATCCCCCATGATTTGGCTCATTACCTGCACTTCTAAGCCTGCTTTGTCCCCACCTTCCAGCCCATTAGGCACTTCCCCAGTGGTCCTGTTACCCTCCCTAAAGCTGAAAATGAGCTGATACTTGGGAGCTGCTCTGAAGCTAATGAGGGAAACAGCTGCTCCATGTTTGCCAAAGTGGACAGCGAGGGCTCAGGACAAAGGAAAAGAAGGGTCACTAAGGTCCCCGCAAATGTCCCCCCAGGATCACACCTCCCGCATCTGCCCATGACACACCCACAGACACCTGCCACAAGCAGTGCTTCTCGTGTTCTGGAGCACAAACCTAAACCAAACTTCCTATCTCAAACTGCCACATTGGCAAAAACTAGGAACATAGTGTCCTGCCTGTTAAAAAACAACCACCACTACCACCACCACCACCACCTTAACTTCAATAGTAGCTACTTCATGCTGACTAATTTCAGACACAATGTAACACACCCCTGGACATATAATGGAAAACTGTTTCAAACCTGAAATTCTCTTCTACCATCTTTATGAACCGGTTTAACTCATTTTCTCAGTCTTAAACTTATTTTCCCTTCATGAACACGCTTAGAGAAAACGAGGGCTTCATAACGTCCCTCCTATAGACAAAAAAATCTCAAGCACAGAGAAGTGAAGAGCTTGGCCCACAGTCCCACAGTAGAAAGTCAAGGTCAGGGCTCTGACCAGACTCCTGGCCTCCTGTCGGCCCATTCAGTCCCAGCCACCAAGCAGCTCCTGTCAGCAGCACCTGACAAAGGGAGCCATGCGGTCACCATGACTACGCTCTCTAATCCAATCCTGAAGGGTGATCTAGAGGGTCAGCGGTTTCTGGCCTTTTCATGACCAAGGTCTTCATCCACCATTTGTTCTCAATAGGCCCAACATTTCTAAAATACGCTGCCCATTAAAGTGTGTTTCATTAGTAATGTCTTCTTTCTATTCATCAGAAGTCATAAAACTGCCAATTACCTTCTGCGATTTGGCTGATAGGTCTGAAATATCGAAGTTCTGCAGTGAAACACTAAGAAAGTTAATATTTTCATTAACCAGTACAGCTATAGTGACCTTCAATTCCCAATTACCATCAGGCACTTTGAAATATTAAAAACATCTTATAATATAGAACTTTGTAGTACAGTACATTAGTAATGCTGATCAGCATTTCAATTGGGTCTATTTTTTCTTCTACTGTTTCTGTAGAGAAGTTGCCAGCATAAACATGCAAAGGTGTATGTGCAAGGATGCTCACTGCAGCATTGTCTGTGATGGTGGAAAATTGGAAACAATGTAAAGGACCACCAAGGGGAGACTAACATATCCATACAATGCAATACTGTGTAGAATGTGGTAAACCTGGATTTACTGACATGAAAAAAGTCCATGATATTGTAAGTTTAAAAAAACGAAGGGAATGGCAGCAGAACCAAATATGTACAGTGTAAGCCTATTTTTATTAATAGACTACACCAGAATAAGATGGCAGAAAGAATCAAATTTAACAGGAACAGAAGAAATTGTGGGAGATATTTAACTTTTCATTTTCTTTCTGTACTGTTTGAAGTTTTCCTGAACAGTATTGCTGTTATAACTAGGGAAATGTACACTTGAGAACTTGTCTGTTCCAGACATACCCAAAATATTAAAGAATTTTAAAAAAAAACAAAGAAAGAAAAGCATGTATACCTCTCCCCCACACATTCCTGCTTTCACAGAGCCCTAAAACCAGTCATCTGGGTACCTTAAAGGTACCTCAGCCATCACTGCTCCCCTTCATCCCCATCCCTGGAGCAGCTGAAGTTCCAGTAATGTTCCTTTGGAGGTTCTGGTCCCTAAAGTCATTCTTCAGTCCTCCAGCTCAGTCAGGTCCCAGAGTCAGCCAACACAGGTGTAATTAGCAGCTATTAATAAAGCAACTGCTGGGTGTGAACACTGAGCAGCCAGGGAAGCCTGTTCTGCGATACAGGCAAATAACAGAAAAAAAAAAGAAATAAACTAGCGCATATTCTCATAATTGTACTTCTCCTTTGACTGTGGCTGCAATAGTCTCACAGTCCAATCAGAAAGGGGTAAAGAGAATGGGATAAATGAAGGACAGTGGCTTTAGGACAACCCAGATGCTTCCTGAGAGAGAGAAGAGGGTGGGGCTGGGAAGGGAGAAATCAGAGCCAAAGCAGAAATTAGAGCCTAGAGTAATCCCGGACAAAGACCTGGGATTACTGCTTCCTTGACTAATCAAAAGCCCTCAAGGCATAAAAACTGCAGAAGAGTCAGAAAGGCAGGTAGGAGATTCGATTCCTTTGGAGAATAAAGCAGAGCTAGGACTGACACTGGACGTTGTGCAGGGTCAAACTTCCACAATTACTAACGCTGCCCCCCCCCACACACACACACACAGACACACACACCAGCTTTCTGCATTCTTTTGAATCAAGTGCACCTCTCCTTAAGATGTGCATCCCGTACCCCAAAACCTGGGTCACCATATTGTCAAACAAGAAGAGAAAACATTCTTTACTGAAAATATAATTCTTCACAGGGCTCTTTTAAATAGTGAGCTCGCAACACAGTATTTAGAGTACAATTCAATTTTTATATGTTTTAGAAAGAAATACAATATGCCAATAGAATCACCAGTGAAAATAACAGACCAGTTATGTGCCCACCACTCTTCTAAGTGCTTTCCTATATTTATTCATTTAATTCTCACATCACTCTGGAAGGAGATACTATTAGTATCCCGATTTTATAAAGGAGTAAACTGAGGCATGGCGAGGATAAGTTGTAGCTTGTTCAAGGGCACACAGCTAGAAAGCAGTAAAACCAAGATTCAAACCCAGGGCAGCCTGACTCCAGCGGCTGCACTCAAACATCACATAGGCTAGTTATCTTCCAGGTGGTATTTGCCCTTGGTACCTAGCTTCCTGTCCTGGCAGAGAAAGGAGACCCTAATTGTAGAAGTACACCATCCTCAGTGTCGCATCCAAACAAGCTGCCTCTGCTACAGCCCAAACCCAGGCAAGCTTCATTGGCACTAGGCGAAAAGAGATTATCATCATTAATCATGAGACTGACAAGGGCATGACATCAAGGTCGAGACTCTGGAGAAAGCTTTGAACATGAGATGATTCCAGGTCTCATGCTGCTCGGCTGTTTCCACCTACTGATAAATATAACCACCGAAGGGAGAACAACTGACTGATAGAGTTCCAAAGGAAAGGTGCAATCTGGAAGCAGGGACAAGGGTTAGCATTCCTTTAGTTTCCCCCAAAACACCTGGGGCCCAGTTGCCCAGGACCTTTTGTACTGGGCTATGCAGTCTGGCAGTCTATAATGACGCTTAGGAATACAGATGCCTCGTCTCTCTGCAAACCCACCTGCCATGTCTGTCTAAAGACTTGGCATGAAAATGCTCCTGTGAAACCTGTCCCCAGAGGACTGAAGCTGCAGGAAAGTTCTAAGGCTAAACCTGTGAGAAAGGAAGAAACCAAGACACTGTGAAAAGTCAAATGTCAGGGCCGATTCCACTAAGGCCTGTAGAAATGAGCTACTGGCTGCCACCTGCAATTTCTACAGTGAGCAGCACCCTCACAAAACTTAGCCCAGGAGACAAAGGGAAACTGTTAACAGTATCAGCCCCAAGTAATCCCTGCACGCTGCTACTCTGCCTTACTCACTGTGTGTACAATAATGCCTGTCCTAACTTTTAAACATCAGTCAAGTGTGCAGATACCTCAGGAGACTGAGATTCAGTTAAAAGAAAGCAATAAGAAAATGCTGGGCCACACCAGCAGTCCAGCCCCAAAGACAGACATTTTACTTAGTCTACTTGTTTCAGTCCCCTTGTAGACTTTGTTTTAAATTCCCATGTCAAATAATTATTTCTCACTCCCCCCAAGCAGCAAAGTTTAGGATTACAACTATATTCACAAGATAAAATCCTGGGAGAGGGCAGCCCCTCATTTTTGCCAGAACTTACAACATTTCTTCTCTGATATTCGAAGATTTGGGGCTTTGGTTTCACAGCTGCTGCTGCTCTGTTCTGAAGATACATCATTCCCAGACATGGCAGCTCTTCGGGAGGTGTCTGGAAGGGGCAAAAGGAATGTAAGGAAGGAAAGACAAGAGACATCTCTCAAAACACTCAGTGAAGAGGATCAGTGCAGGATAAGTGAAAATACCCTGGGCCAAGCGTCAAGTCCAGCCCTCTTTCTCCCCGTTAATAGCTGCATGCCCTAGGATAAGTCATGAACCCACAGCCCTGTTTTCTCATCTATATATAAATAGAGCACTAGAACTTTGCATTTATAACGCTGACTTATGAGTTACATTCACATATATTGTCTTCTTCAATCCTTCCAATAATCCTGTACTAAGGCAGAATTTGCTACCATTATTACTTCTCTTCATTTTACAGATTTGAGAAACTGAGGTCAATCAAATTAAGTGGCTTATCCAAGCTCCTTCCTGACCTCAAATTCTAGTTTAAAAATCTGGAGAGTAGTGGCAGCAGTTGGGGGTGGGGTGGGTTGTGACTAGATCAAGTTCATTATCATCAAGAAATGGCAGTCGAATGGTAGAATTCAGTCCTGAAAAAAACGAGAGGTGGGAAAATCTCAAACATGTTTCCCGAAAGGAAAACTTGAACTGGACCCTGAGACACCCCTAGCACGTCACCATTTCTCCTCTAGTGTTATTCTCAAGCCCTTGCTCCCCACCTCTCCCCATCTACCCCCGGGACAGGACGAAGTTTATAGAAGATACACTGGGGTCACAACGACGTGGTAAATGTCTTCCTCAAGGTCCCCTGCGGGATGAGGGGTCCTGACTCGAACTGGGGTAGGAGAGCCCCAAGTTCAGTCCCCAAAGCCCGACAAGGGAGTCGTGAAACAGGAAGGTACTATTACTTCAAAGACGTTGCACTGTTATTCTACTGACCACACAAATCCTCCCACCGAACTACCAGCGGGGCTCCCGGCCCATGAACGTCCCCAACTCGGGGCAATGGCCGGGGGCCGGCACTTCCCTGAAACAGCGCGGCACCATCGCTCCGCACCTCATCCGGGTGCCCGCAGCCCCCAGTCCTCCCTCCCTTCCAGGCTCTTGCAGGCGCTGTACAGCTGTCGCTCACCCTATTATCCCTAAGATCCCTCCCGGCAGTGGCCCCGGCACCTCCCCTGAAACGCTGCACACAGGAGACGACAGGCTGTGGCCTGGGGTCCCCCGCACTCCAGTCGCCGGCACATCAAGTGTCCCAGCCTGGCTCCGCCTACCCCCACGTTGGTCCTCACCTGGAGAGAATCATGGACCAATCCGGCGCCTGCAGGCCCCAGAGGGCGGGGCTCAAAGCGGAATCGCTGACGCCGGCTCTAGAACGAGGACGGAACTGTGAAGGGGAAGGATCTCAAGTTCCCAAATTTCCCAGCACTGTGGAGGGTTGGTTGCATCGTTGCTTGGCAACTAATAGGGCTGGGGGCGGGGTTTGTTAAAAGCAGCTCTGTTTTTCATACTCTCGCGAGAGTGGACTAGGTAGCGTCTTGTGAGGGTGTGGCTTCTTGGTGCTGGGGCGAAAAAAGTCGCGGAGGTTAACTCTTTCCTCCCTGAATCCCAGCGGGACCTCGTTAGATCCATACATTGGAACGTAAGCTTTAGAAGGTACTTTGCTGGAGTCAACTAGCACAGTACTTGAGCTGATGACACCTTAGGGTGTTTGTATATCCTTCCTATAGGTCAGACACTGTAACCTAAGAAAAGCAACTATTCTCATCGCTGAACCAACCACATACTAGACCCACCCACGTACTTCCGTGGACTTCTAACCACTCATTTATATTCCCTTCTACCTCCCACACTATAACCTCTGTTATGGTCATCTCAAAGAACGAAAGAGGAAATGGCTCCAGCAGGAAAATGGGTCATGAAAGGTATGAAAAGATTCAAAGTTTCCATTTCTACCAGGATGGGGAAAAAAAGCAATGAGCATGGATTTCTTGGAAGAGATAAATTTAGAGATGTCTTTATTCCTCCTTCGCCTCGGGATTAAATTCATCCTGCACACAGCTCTAATAGGGTCGTCTCTTGGAAGCCTATTACAACTCCCAGTATGTTATAGTTGCCCTCTGTCCTATACAACTCTCTTTAACTATTCGGCTGGTATTTATTGAGGCACAGTCCTTGGTTCTAGGGATAGAGGGTGGAAAAAGGCCAGATAATCTAGCATTATCACATTGCTGTGAAACTCAGTGGTTATGTGTCCTTTGTCTCCCACCCTCTCTTCCGATGACAACGAGTCCTTGTCATGCTGAAGGCAGACATAGAATCATCTTCGTATTTGTATACGCGGGGCCTGAACTGGAATGTAGATGACACACGTTAGTTCTCTTCATTCCTTCTCCTTCTCCTGCCACCTCCTGAAGGTCGCAATTGCCCTAAGCCCAGATGCTGACCTCATCCTGCGCTTTCTGATGTGGCAAATGGACGTTTTCAAGTTACAGTCTCCCGGAGGTGGAAAGGCCAGTTGTCCCTTAACCTCAATGAGTCAATGTTTGCTGCAGCCATGAGTCGAGTCACGAGTATCTGGTTGTGTTTGACAGGTCCTTGACTCACTGACCATTCTTGGCATTCGTTTGCAAGCTGAACTATAATTCTGTGTCTTCCGGTGTAGTTTAGTAGCCCCAATTTAATAACTTCCGACCTCAGTTAAGTGCAAGATTTACATTCCAATGTACTGGATTCAGGAACTCTTCCCCCGCCCTCTTCCCTTGAGCATATATGCTGCCAACGCGGAGGGCACCTCACTCATGCGACAGGTCGCCAGGCCTTTGGGACTTTAGGAATACTGATACATCTTCATCCTTTTGTCTTCTGAAGGGTGGGGGCGAAAATTAGGTGTCCCTTTAAGAGAGTTCGCGCTTCTTAAAAGGGCTAACACATAGGCGGCAGCCAAGTCTCGCGAAAACTGCAGCCACCAGCGACGTCTCGCGATGTTTGGCCCGGCAAAAGGTGGCCATTTTGGAGTCCCCCCGGCGGCTGGTTGCCCCGGCGGCGTCTGCCATCCTGCTGCCGGGACCAAAGCTGGCCCCACGGGCGCCTGGCCTGTGGGCGGCCGGACCGACGCGATGTGGCGGCTCCGCTGCAAGGCCAAGGATGGCACCCATGTTTTGCAGGCGTTGTCCAGCAGGACCCGGGTGCGGGAACTGCAGGGCCAAATTGCCGCGATCACCGGGATCGCCCCCGGCTGTCAGCGGATCCTCGTCGGATACCCGCCCGAGTGCCTGGATCTCAGCAACGGGGAGACCGTTCTGGAGGATTTGCCCATCCAGTCAGGTACGAGAATCGAGGCTGGGGCCCCGGGGAGCCCTGGGAGGAGGGAGGCGGGCGAGAGGGACCGCAGAGGCGAGGCGAGGCGGCGGGGGGCCAGCTCGTGCTTCGGGGACACGGGGCAGGATGGATTCAAGCGCAGAGGACCGCGACGCGGGCCGAGGCAAGTGTCTCGCAACTCCTTGACTTGCCGTATGGTGGAAAGAGACAGGGAGGTCCCCAACGTCTGCGAGAAGCCACAAAGCCCGGAGTCGCGGCTTCCTCAGCCTGCTTTCTGCTCTACCTTGAACACATCGCATTGCTTTTGGCTTCCCTCGGCGTCCACAAAAGTATAAAAGAGTAGGACGTACTTTCTCTGTCCTGACGGTTCCTTTTCCCTCTTTCGCTGAAAGGAGATAGCAGATCTGTAGGATGCAGAACACTTTGCTTTCTTCCTTTCCTGGTGTTTGCAATCACCTTCATGTAGTCTAGCTTGGACAAGTGTAATTTTAGAGTTTGCTTGTACACGTCCACTCAAGGCCCTTTCACGTTCTAAGCAGTAGTTCTGTCCAATATTAAAACTTCCAACAGCAATACTGATAATTAAAAGCGTTGCCGCTGTTTATTATCAGGGATCCTGTAAACACTAAACAGGCTAGATTAGCTTCCGAAGGAGGAGAACCCCCTAGTGGCTTAGTCTATGGTGAACACCTTGTGGAAGATTTGTGCTTTTTAAATACAGAGAGCAAGCATCAGGAAATTAGGGTGTTGAAATACATCTTTTTAAGTAAGTATAAAGGTGTATATAATCCAGGCCACTTCACAAAATTAGGAGGCAACCTGCAAGTGTTTTTTTTTTGCTCTTTGTTCTGTTTTGAACTTGATGAAGATTCAGTGAACAAAAAGTATTACTGGTCCCTAGTTTGCAAAGCTGTCATCTCCCTAGTCACCCCAGCTTATACTTTAACCCCTTCCGCTTGCAATTTACAGACGTGGCTAGTGAACACCCAGTTTCATCTATCATTTCTCTGCAGTTCTGGATTTGTTTTATTTTCAACAGGAGACATGCTGATTGTTGAAGAAGACCAAACCAGGCCCCAAACTTCACCTGCTTTTACAAAATATGGTGCTCCTAGTTACGTCAGGGAAACCTTGCCTGTGCTTACCAGAACCACGGTCCCGGCAGACAACTCTTGCCTGTTTACCAGTGTGTACTATGTTGTTGAAGGTGGAGTCTTGAATCCAGCTTGTGCCCCTGAGATGAGACGCCTCATAGCACAAATTGTAGCAAGTGATCCAGACTTCTATAGCGAGGCAATCCTGGGAAAAACCAATCAGGAGTACTGTGAATGGATCAAAAGGGATGATACTTGGGGAGGAGCGATTGAGATATCAATTCTGTCTAAATTTTATCAATGTGAAATATGTGTAGTGGATACGCAGACAGTAAGAATTGATCGTTTTGGGGAAGATGCGGGCTATACCAAAAGGGTGCTGCTTATTTATGACGGCATCCACTATGATCCGCTGCAGCGTAATTTTCCTGACCCAGACACCCCTCCGCTGACCATTTTCTCCTCTAATGATGATATTGTTCTTGTACAAGCACTGGAATTAGCCGATGAAGCTAAAAGAAAGAGACAGTTTACTGATGTAAACCGCTTCACCCTGAGATGCATGGTATGTCAGAAGGGATTAACTGGACAAGCGGAAGCAAGGGAACATGCCAAGGAGACAGGCCATACCAACTTTGGAGAAGTGTGATCTATGCACAATGAGGATTGAAGCCTACTACCTCACAGATCCAGAAGGTTCTGAGTTTTCAAATAAGCTATTCGTAATCCTAAAGAACAAAGGACACAATGCTTGAACCATTCTTTTAACTTAAAACCACTAAGACACTGAAATTCCTTGTTAAGATTAAAATTAGTGTGCAAGTTTACAGATGTGTGTCTACAGTGGTGATACGGGCCCTCTTTCTGCTGTGGTGACAGAATAGATGGTCCTTGCTACCTATTGACACTAACCTGAAAATTGAATTTTAGTATTATAAACTAGCATCCAGCAGCATTAACTTGTAGAAGAAAACAGCTTCATATTTTGGGTAATGCTGAAGGCGTCATGTGAGATGTGAGGCCAATGGACGTAAACCACAGTGTCTCCAGTAACTGAGCCCTTTTAAAAACTGAGTGAATTAATAATTTCTAAATTATGCATTGATTCCTCAAATGAAGATACTCAGAATTGTCAAACTGATTTTATATTGCAATTTGGTAGACTTTATAAATGTGTACTTAACCAGTTATAAGTACATAACAAGCAATTTTTACAGGAATGAGTCTATTCCTTGAGAATGTTACCTAAAACAGGAACTAATCGTGCCCAATTTAAGATTTCTAGTATATAAAAGTAGAATGTATGAGGACAAAGGTGCCTGAGCAGCTTACTAAAGCTTTAAAAGACCATTGGCGTCGTGTTTTAATGCAATTAATTTTTCAATGTTTGTCATATTGGATAAAATTTTTAAATTAAGCAGGGTATTTTTTTTAATTAAAATTTGCTTGATTTTTGGTTTTTGGGTTTTTTTTTACACAAAGATTTGGAGGGATTTAGTTTCCTCAGCTTTTTGTTAAGACCACTTCTTCCAACTCCTAAAAAAAAAAAAAAACTTTATCTAAAGTGATGGATGATGTTATGCTTTGGTTTGGTTTTTATGAGATCTTTTGTTTACCTAAACAGTATTTGTTTTCTTTTTAGCCTTATCCCACCGATAGCGCTCTTTTGAATAATTTTGTGTTTCTGCAAATTAGCACTTTGCTTACCCACAGTCTTTTACTTGGACTTTTGAAGAATTTTAAAGTAATTGGGATAATAATATTGAATGAATTTGTTTCACTTCCAAAATATGACAGTTTTTAATCCTTGCCTTATCTGAGTACCTTCTTCCTAATATTAGATATGTATCCTTTTGCTTGGTGGGCTAATCCTTAAGAGACACCCCCTAAAACTTAGCTTTACTATGACATCTTCCAGATAAAAGTTTTCTACCTCTTTTCTTAATTCTTCTGATGATCAGGGATGCTCAGTGATAATTTGTTATGTATTATCTCACATAATATGAAGAGGCTTAAAGTTGTGAGGTTTTGTTATATTGGTTTCATTTTTTATTAAGTATCTCACTTAGAAAACCAATGGCATACTTTAAAACACTTGAATCTCTTTCACCATATCTTCTTGACAAATGTTACAGAATGATTGAGATTGCCTTTAGCACTTTCACGTGTTGGAAGTAGCCATATAAAATTAAGGAATGTGTAAACAATTTAGGCATAAAGTATGCTTGAAATTATTAATTAGATGACAGTTTTGACTACCTTTTGTGTGAATAGCTGCTTTAGGCATAAGTTATTATGGTCAGTATAATTTAAAAAGTGTTTAATTTTCTATTTTACTGAGCCTTAAAAATAGCACTTGTGAGTTTGTGCTACTTAATGTTTGGCAATCATAATATATACAAATGAGTATGATTGAACATTTCTTGGTACCTGTCTGTCCTCTGGTCTAAAAGGCTTTTGTACCTCTTAATCTCCCCAGAAAATATGAAATTTAAAATTGTCAGTTAAAAGCATACCACTGGGTAACATCCATCAAATTGTTTACCTTCCTTTCTTAGGTATTCAGGAGCCAAACTTGACATTTGCTAACTGGAATTTTAGAGAAGTTTATTCATGCAACAAATATTTATTGAGTAACTTATCATGTACCAGGCATCTACTGATGTGTTTCCCAACGTAAATGTCTGTCACTTTAAAATTGAGTATCTATTGGGTTACTTTAACAAATGGAAAGAAATAGAACCTGATATTTTATGAAATTAAACCCCTCCATTTTAAGTATTTTTGTCTATAGATTTAAGCTTATATTTTTATTGCCAGTGTCAAGTATTTATTCAGGGGATCATATTTTATTCTAGTTTACCTGGTATCTAGGTTGTCAATTCACCAGTTGGAAACTGATAGTGAAATCGCTCTGATAATGGCTTTTTAAATTAATCAGCTTCTGAATTCAGCATTAGGACTTCAAAGTCATGTTTTGATCATGGAAAATTCAAAATTGCAGGTTGTTTGATTAATTATTGAGAATTAAAAACCTAAACTTGTGCTCATTCTAAGCTTGTTTATGAGCCTCACATAATTTAAAGATTTTTTTAACTGCACTTTTTAAACTCCTGAAATGATTTTCTAATGTGTAAATTCTAATCTTGAAAATTTTGAAAACCTATGGATTTAGTACTTGCAGTGGGATTAAAAGACACCTTTTTTCTTAAATTTGCGCTTGAGCAGAATGAAACCTTTCTTCCTAGTTATTGGCTTTGACTGCCATTCAAGAATAGTTTTTAAATTAAAATTAGATAGTTTAGTGGCAGAATGAATGAAGCTTGTGCTTCCACACCCCTCACTCCTTTTCAGAACTCTTTCCTGTACTCCCCTTTGGATTTAAAAATTAGATGTAGGGCTATTAAGATGCACTTTTTAGATAGAGTGATTTCAGAAATTAAAATTATATCCCTGGGAACGTGTGATGTGATAGCCATATGAAGACACCAGTGAGATACATTTTCTGTTAATGGTTCATGGTTGATTTTTTCATTGTTTCCCATGAATGACAGATGGGCACAGTCAAGTGGTACCCTTGAAAGATGGCAGCTGGCCAGTTTGACCTTGCTGGCAAAAACTAATGCAGTCATGTCACTTGATTATTCCATGAAGTTCAAGTCCCTGCAAAATCATAATCAGGAATGAATTAACATTATCTATTTATACATATCCCTAAGTGCCCATCCTTAACTTGCTTATCTTACATATTTTTTTCTATTTTATGTAGGCTTTAAAACACGGATGTTGCACGTTGCCCTAGCTAAACATAGTTTTCTATGTCTTTTTAAAAAAAAAAAAAAAATAGAATGGGGAGTATGCAAGATTAGCAGCAGTGATTTACAAATCAGGTGGCCTTCCTAAACTTTCATA